ATCCCCTGAGATCTCAAGAGGAATACCACCAATGTATTCCTGTCAGCTCGGAATCACACCCACTGAGTGCTCACACATAGTATTCCAGTTTCCAGTATTGGTTGACTGACCCCTATGAAAGCAAGACAATGGAGATCGACCTCACCACAAACCGTTTTGCAAGGACAAAGCAGTAAGACAGAGATCAACGAGGAGAAGTTCATCTTCTTACGGCTATAGTCTTTCCCACATATTCCCAAAGCTATGGATACGATGGAGAAACACACATGGAAACCAGTAGAGACACCGCTGACTCTTGATAGAAAACATGTAGCATGCAACCTAAGGAGGAGCTCTGGACGTCTCTGGTAGCACAGCCAATTTTTTCGGGGTTTCCAGCAAGAAGATGCTTTTGCATTGTTTAGCACTGGCTCAAGTATTAAAGAACGCCATGACCATATCCACAGCCATTGTCCGGTGCGTGGAATCTCCAAGGAAATGACACCCAATTTTCCAGTAAATCTGGGGATCTACAATTCCACTGGCAAGACGCTTGTCAAATCTTCCTTTCCAAGGACGGTGGCAACACTTCTTCTAGAAACTCCCATAGTACCATTACTGTTGGATGTCACACTTCACCCATGGACAAACCCAATCCACCTCATGCCAAGAAAATCAAAACAGAAGGTACCCATCTACCCCAGTTTTCCAATCATCTGTAGAACCCTAGGGATACAACACAGAGCACCAGTCTTATGACAACTCTACAGGTTTCCAACCAATTGTCAAGAATAATGATCTTTCCGCACGTGGAAGGCAGCAGTTATGCCTAAGTTGCCTTTAAGGAGATTAAGGTGATCATGACTTTCTGTGGTATGCACCTAAAAAGCAGTCAAGACCCTGACACCTTTCTTAACCACTGGCATCAATCCTGAAGGTCAGTTTTGGATGCAGATCTGCTCAGCTACCTTTTCTTTAAAGGGAGAACCAGCTATCAAACTACTCGTTCGTTCATTCAATTCCAAAATTCCTGGGTAAACCTCCCCTTGGAAGCTAAGGGTCCAGAGGCAATTGACACAGACTTTAAATTAGAGGAAGTTACCAGCATTGCCGGTAGAGTCCTTAGCCATTGCCATTCTATAAATATTTAAATCAAAAAAATTTTTCTACTTATGCATTTCTCCCAGTTCAACATGACATGTGCCACTGGGACACAGGGTCTTGAAAATTACTTAAGTGGAAATTGTTCCAAATAGCTGGGAATTCTCAATATTCACCGGGAATATCACAGCCAATTAGTCAACCAGTCATGGTCAAGAAGAAAACCAGGGGACATGTCTCAGCTTATTCCGAAACCCCAAATTCATTTGGGCCACAATTTCTGTTGTCCAAGTGTAGTATGGGATGAAGTGAAACCACGTGAATCACTCACCTTGATGACTTGGAATGGTGGGTTTCTGGCCAGCAGGTCTTTCTACATCACAAAAACAGGCAAAAGGCAAAGAATGAGCCTGACAATCAGCAGTCCGTTAGGTGTTTTGATCACTTGTGGAGGTTAGATTCATTCAAATGGGGGTCCACTTTAACCAAGATAAATAAGATTGAGCAAAAGGAGGTTTTTTCTGGGCCTCAGCGTAATCCTATTGAGCATGATTTTTATGTCATCATCTCTCTTCAAGACAAGTTTAGGTGTCAGCATTGACCCAAGAAAAGTCACTCCCCAGGTATAAATCCCCTGAGACCTCAAGAGGTCTACCTGTCAGTTCAGAATCACAACTGATGAGTGTTCCCACATCCTCTTTCAGTTTCCAGTGGGGTTGGACTGACCCCTAGAAAGGAGAACAGAGATCAACCACAACACAAAGCATTTTTGCAATGACAAAGCAGTAAGACAGAGATCAACAAGAAGAAGTTCATCTTCTTATGGCTAGGCTCTTTCCCACATATTTCCAAAGCTATGGAGAAAATCGAGACACCCACATGCAACCCAGTAGAGACACTACTGACCAGTGACAGAAAGCAAGAAGGGTGCAACGTAAGGAGGAGCCCTAGAGGTATCCGGTCACACAAACAATTCTCAGGGGGTTTCGCACAAGAAGAAGCTTTTTGATGTTTTAGCCCTGGCTGATCTATTGAAGAAAGCCATGTCCATATCCACAGGAATTGTCCAGTGCATGGACTCTCCCAGGAAATGAAACCCAAGTTTCCCACAAAACTCCCGATCCACCAGTCCGCTGGCAGGACACTCATGAAATCTAGTCCTTTGGAAGAATTGTGCCAACACTTCTTCTAGAAACTTCCCTGGTCCTGTTACTGTTGGATGTCACACTTCACTCATTGTCAGACCCTATCTAACTCATGCCAACCAAATCACAACAGAGGAAACCCATTTCCTCCTGTTTTCCAACCATCAGTGGATCCCTAGGAATACAGCACAGAGCACTAGTCTTATGACAAATCTACATGCTTCCAATCAACTCTCAAGAACCATGATCTTTCCACATGTGGACTGCTGCAGTTATGCCTGAATTCCCTGTTGAGGAGTAAGGTAATCTCGCCATTCTGTGGCATGGAGCTGAAAGCAGTCAAGACCCTCACATCTTTCTTACCAACTGGCAACCACCCTGGAAGTCGCTTTTGTATACAGATAGGCGCAGTTAGCGTTTACTTGAAGGGAGAACCAGCTATCAGACTACTCATTAAATTCAGTCAATTCCAAAATTCCTGGAAAACCTCCCTGTTGAAATGAATGGTCCAGCAACAAATGATACAGACTTTAAATTAGAGGAGGTTACCTGGGTCGTTGGTAGAGCCCCTAGCGATTGCCATTCTATAAATACTTTAGAATAACACATTTGTCTACTTGGGCATTTCTCCCAGTTCAATATGACATGTCTCCCTTGGACCCAGGGTCTTGAAAACTACTGAAGTGGAAAATGTTCCCAGTTCCTAGGAATTCTCAGTATTCCCCATGAATATAACTGCCACTTCTTTAGCCAGTCGTAGTCAAGAATAAAACCTGGGGACACGTCTAAGCTTATTCTGAAACCCCAAATGCCTTTGGGCCAGAATTTCTGTTGTCCAAGGGTCATAGGGGATGAGGTGAAACCACATTAAATCTCTCAATCTGATGCCTTGAAATGCTGAATTTCTGGGTAGCAGGTCGTTCTAAATCAAAAAAAGAGGTAAAGAGGCAAGGAAGGAGTCTGACAATCATCAGTCACTTAGGGGTTTTGATGTTTTGTGGAGGTGTAAGGCATCCAAATGGGGGTCCACTTGGACTGAGATAAATAAGGCTGGCCAAAAGGAGTTTTCGTCTAGGCCTCAGCGTAATCCTATTAAGCATGATTTTTAGTCATCATCTGTCTTCAAGACAAGTTTAGGTATCATCATTGACACAAGCCATGTCACTCCCCAGGTATAAATCGCCTGAGACCTCAAGAAGCTTACCACCGATCTCTTCCTGTCACCCCGAATCACTCCAGATTAGTGTTCGCACATCGTGTTCCAGTTTCCAGTTTCGGTGGATTGACCCCTTTGAAAGCAAGACAACGTAGATCGACCTCACCACAAACTGTTTTGCAAGGACAAAGCAGTAAGACAGAGATCAACGAGAAGTTCATTTTCTTATGGCTCTGGTCTTTTCCACATATTCCCAAAGCTATGGATACAATGGAGAAACCCACATGGAAACCAGTAGAGACACGGCTGACCCTTGACAGAAAGCAAGAAGCATGCAACGTAAGAAGGAGCCCTAGACGTCTCTGGTCACACAGCCAATTCTCACGGAGTTTTGCCCAAGAAGATGCTTTTGCATTGTTTAGCCCTGGCTGATCTATTGAAGAATGCCATGACCATATCCACAGCCATTGTCCAGTGCATGGAATCTCTGAGGAAATGACACCCAAGTTTCCAGCAAAACTGGGGATGTACAAGTCTGCTGGCAGTACACTCGTCAAATCTATTCCTTTCCAAGGATTGTGCCAACACTTCTAGAAACTCCCATAGTCCCATTACTGTTGGCTGTCACAGTTCACCCATGGTCATACCCAACTGACTTCATGACGAGAAAATCACAATACAGGAAAGCCATCAACCCCAGTTTACCAATCATCAGCAGAACCCTTAGGATACAACACAGAGCACCAGTCTTATGACAACTCTACAGGCTTCCAACCAATTGTCAAGAACAATGATCTTTCCACACGTGGAAGGCAGCAGTTATGCCTAAATTGCCTTTAAGGAGATTAAGGTGATCATGACTTTCTGTGGTGTGTACCTAAAAGCAGTCAAGACCCTGACACCTTTCTTAACCACTGGCATCAAACCTGCAGGTCGCTTTTGGATACAGATCTTCCCAGCTACCTTTTCTTTAAAGGGAGAACCAGCTATCAGACTACTCATTTGTTCATTCAATTCCAGAATTCCTGGGAAAACCGCCCCGTGGAACCTAAGGGTCCAGCGGAAATGACACAGACTTTAAATTAGAGGAAGTTACCAGGGTCGCCGGTAGAGCTCCTAGCAATTGCCATTCTATAAATATTTTAGAAAAACTCATTTGTCTACTTGTGCATTTCTCCCAGTTCAACATGACATGTCACATTGGGACCCAGGGTATTAAAAATTACTCAAGAAGAAATTGTTCCAAGTTCCTGGGCATTCTAAATATTCACCATGAATATCACTGCCACTTAGTCAACCAGTCGTGGTCAACAAGAAAACCCAGGAACATGTCTAAGCTTATTCTGAATCCCCAAATGCCTTTGGGCCACAATTTCTATTGTCCAAGGGTAGTAGGGGATCATGTGAAACCACGTTAAATCACTCACCTTGATGCCTTGAAATGGTGAATTTCTGAGCAGCAGGTCCTTCTAAATTGCAAAAAAGAGGAAAACGGCAAGGAATGAGCCTGAAAATCCACGTCGGTTAGGTGTTTTGATCACTTGTAGAGGTGAAACGCATCCAAATGGGTGTCCCCTTGGACCGAGATAAATAAGGTTGGGCAAAAGAAGGTTTCCTCTGGGCCTCAGAGTAATCCTATTGAGCATGATTTTTATGTCTTTATCTGTCTTCAGGACAAGTTTTTGTGTCATCATTCATCCAAGAAATATCACTCCCCAGGTATAAATCCCGAGATCTCAAGAGGCTTACCACCGATGTCTTCCTCTCAGCTCGGAATCACTCCTGATGCGTGTTCACACATCGTCTTTCAGTTTCCAGTGGGCTTGGACTGACCCCTAGGAAAGTAAGACAACAGAGATCAAACTCACCACAGAGAGTTTTGCAAGGACAAAGCAGTAAGACAGAGACGAATGAGGAGAAGTTCATTTTCTTATGGCTATGGTCTTTCCCACATATTTCCAAAGCTATGGAGAAAATCGAGACACCCCCACGCAATCCAGTAGAGAC